ACTAGCATGAGTTAAATACAACTCACATGGCAGTTAATGCACTAGCTTTGGAATATGAATTATAGATCATTAAATTAAAGGCTTGTTAAAATTAGAGAGGTTCTATATAGCAATCTAGTGTAAATGCCTTCATTTTATACAAGAGGAAACTGAGACAAGAGTCTAAGTGCTGTCAACCGGAAGCCAGCAAGTGGCAGAGCAGAGCCCAAGCTGTCTTTCAGTCCAGAGTTCTCTCTGTGACAGCACTTGATCTGCCTTGGTCGATGTTCATTATGGCATCGAAAATGGATATAACAGAGGGTACACACTCTACTCAAAAAACAGCACTTTTAAAATGTGTACCTAAAACTGATTGAGTTTATACTTTGACTGCAAGCTTAGACAAGTGTTGGGGTGAGGGGGGAGTATGTGTGTAGGGGGCTGAAGTACAGTTAAGTGAGAAGATGTTCTCTAACTGAAAAGAATTCAGAATGACAAAATAAATGTCTAATAAAAGTACACCATTTGCTTTCATTCTTGGAAAAGGTTTCCTAAAATTACTCACTAGTTTTTTTATATATACATGTATCTATTCTATTTATTTTGATGTGACTTATGCCATTCTCAAAATAATAATTACTAATAAAGCTACCTCAGATTTCTAGTGAACCACATATCTGCAGGTAGTTTGTTGGGTTTCAGAATACATGTGTGAAATAGGTAAAGATTATGAAAAATTTAGATAGAAAAGGAAATATCAAGTCCTCTTAACATATCTGTCCCTTTTAGATATTATTTCTTAAGCTATTGAATAAATTTAATCTGGCAAATTTAGTATTTTTAAAACCAAGATAAATCAGTGGAAATTGGTTTTGCCTTTGAAGATATTTATTTTAGTCTCCTTGTATCAGTATCTATTAATAGATGATTCCATCTATAATGATATTCATATCCATATCCACAAACATGTCCATATCCATATCTCAATATTCAGTGGACTAACAGCCAGTAGCAAGCAAAGAGTAGGCCGTTATTATAGGAGTGCTTAGAAGTCTATATTTCTATCTCTTTACACAAGGATTTTGATTAATAAATGTAGAAAGAATGAGAGAAATAGAAAATTACCTTTAGAACACCACAGTAATAACTGTTGCAGGAAAGATCTACCAATAAATGCTAATATTAGTGAGTGCAAATTTGTAAAGAAATAAGGTATTTTCATAGCCTCAAAGTATTTCTGTCAACACAAGGAAAGAAAGTAACCTTATAGTGAAGATACCTGACAACTTAATCAACCCAATACCACCTTAATCAACTAAGATTAAAATAACCAGTATTGAGATGACAGGTCCTGGTAACATGCCCAGGAAGGACACTGCCCTGAGGCCCTTTGCCCTCCAATCACAGCCCCTGGATGAGATACATTCATTGGGGATGTGAAAGTCTTGCATCTTCACAGCGTCCCTATTTAGGAACAATTTTGCTTACTGGTTGAAAGTCAGATGGAGGCAAATACTTGAAGGAATGGCTAAGAGTCCAAGTTCCTAAGAGGAGAGAAGCAATGTTTGAAGAAAGTCCAGAAACGCTACAGAACCCACTATGCCTACCACATCATGACTACGTGGCATTAAGGCACCGTATGTCATTCCAACACGCCTACCTTTATGAGAGAGTAATATCATGAAGATAGCCACAGCTTAGGACTGATTCTGAGACAGAACATTACATTGAAAGATCTGCAAAAAGCCAGAAAAAGAGCATGGGACAGTTGTCACTGAAACAGAAAAAATCATGTTTGCAAGCTGGAGAGACTATCTGGTCTCCACTTCTGTCTGTGTGTGTATTTAACACTCTAAAAGCTGACAGTTGCAGAGCTGAGATAATTCCAGCATGTTGAAAGATGTAAAGCATCATTTGCTGTCAATTTCAACTAAAAGACAATACTCTTAAAACATACAGGTTTTGAAAGAATGTACAACGAAGATAAAGCAAAGAGCAAATTCTCATCAGAGACTGTACTAAAATTAGGAGATCACTAAAAACTTCCAGCCTTTTCCATCAAAGGCTATGCTGCTGGAGAGAAAGAGCCACAGTATCAAAACATTGAGTATTCCTTTTGACCATATCTGGAAGAAAATTCCATCCCCTATGTTCTCCTAGTAATTAAAACAATGGGCAATAAATCAACGTCAAATCAGAGAAAGAGTTGTTAGCCTGAAACTATTCTAAGAGTCAGACAAGTTCTAACAAGAAGGAATTATATCCTGGCTCAGGATAAAGAGAGAAGTAGGTTTGCGATTACATAGCTAAACTGTGAGCAACTAGACTGAAAAATAAACATCAGTAAATAGCAAAGCTGCATTTGTATTAATCTGTACTGACCATGGCAGGCATGTGGATAATTTGCTGGTCAATAGTCAGGCCTAAGACAAGGATTCAGTATTAAAATTCAGATACTGGAAATCATAGAAACTCAAATCATCCCAACAAAGTATCATTTTGTTCAGAAAAAATATTCAATAGATAAAAGAGAAAAAATAGCAATCCCTCCCTATGTAACCAGCCATCTTCTTACCTCACATAAACTCCAGAAAAATACTCTCAAAAGATAGTCTCTCAAAACCATCAAGTGATGCCAAAGTTGACCGTCCAGCCTATAAATAAGAGCTGACTGGTACCCTTTATTTGGGCTCAGCTGCTGCCCCACCTGATACCTTTGGCCCTGACTTTATCCCTAGAGTAACGTCCCATACCTACCTCTCTTCTACCCTGCTGACTGAGGACTGCTCCCTAGCCTTTATTGTTTCTCCAGACTGCTGCCCTCCAAACATTAAACAAGCCTCTCACTGGCTTCCGATCACAGGACTCAGATGAAAGGCTCCACTTGCGCTATTGTCTGAATGTTTTTGTCCCCCAGAACTCATAAATTGAAACCTAATCCCCAATGTGATGGTGTTAGAAGGTGGGGCATGGGGGGTGATTAGATCCTAAAAGCAGACCCCCATAAATGGGATCAGTGCCCTTACAAATAGAGACCTCAATGAGCTATCATGCCCCTTCCGCCATGTAAGAACACAACTAGAAGTCACCATCTACAAACCAAGAAAATAGATCCTCATCAGACACCAAACCTGCCAGCACCTTGATCTTGGACTGCCCTACCTCCAGAACTGTACAAAATAAATTTCTACCATTTATAAGCCACCCAGTCTACAGTATTTTGTTATAGCAGCCTGAAGGGGCTAAGACAACCTCTAAGGCCATAGCCAGGTTTTCCAGGATAGACTGCAGCTTGAACTCTGACACTTCTGCTAGAACTCTGGACATGTACATAATTTGAAGTGCAGTCAAATCTCATTATTTAAAAGTTTTGGGGATGGACCAACTAGCATCTTATAAATTAACAACAGTATAAATGTTTGCAAGGCAGTTGTCACATCTTAAAATGTAAAAGTTGACTGATCGTATATCTGAAGATCTGTGCAATAATCAAGCACATTCTTCAATCATCCTTCTTTTAGCTCACATTATTAGATAAATTGAGAGGCTGCAAAGTGCCACAGGATCTGCCTAAACGGTATAATTTATAAATATTAATATGCATCTTTGCCATATTAATAGGATCAGGCTCTTTTCATGAACATAATATGGTAGTAAGATGAAACTCACTTTATTGTTATTTGTTCCAAAAGTAAGTCTAGCCAAAAGCAGAATTTTCTTGAATCCCTTCCAGAGGATTTCTACTAATGGCATGGTTATAAGATTCTATTATAAGGTAGCTTAAAATTTGAAAAGGATTCATTGCACAAAAGTCTAAAGAAAGATTCTGATGAGTTATGAATGAGGAAGTTTAAAAAACCTAAAGCTATATATACACACATATATAAAAATACCATATGTAAATATATAATATGATATATATACATGTATATGTGTGTGTATACATATATATATATGTGTGTATATATATATATATATATAAAACTTCTCCCAAAATAAATCAAAGGGCAATGTTTAACTTTCATACAAATCATGAAATTAGTAAAACTGTGCTATCTCTGAAAAAATCCTAAAATATAGAGGAAAAATCCTAAAATTAGAGATCCTAAAATATAATCCCTTGGAATTTGCTAGTGTTCCAACTACTTTCTATTTAAAATCTTTGCCATTTCATAGCACTAACTGGAAAAAAATAATTTTCTGAGGCCACAGCATTAATATGTTTCTAAAGGTGCCTAATTTTTAAAATTGAGTAACATTTAAGAAACCAAAGGTAGGAATACTTTGAACACACTACTAAACACATAATAGAATACATTTATCAAATTGCAATAGTTGTTAGGTTGCCTACTCTCATGACAATAACATTTATTTAAAAGTTTTTACTTGAAATGTATCATTTTAAACCTTAACATCTTCCAGAAGAAGAGGCACACTCATGTCTTCCTGCTTTGGAAACAAGAGAACCAAGGCTCCTGGAATCAAATGATTTACCTCATGGATGCCAGAGCAAAACTCTAACCTATGACCTCAGCTTAACTTCATTGCTTTTATAAAAAAAAAAAAAAAAAAAAAAGTAAGTTACAAGGCACTGTGCTAGGCTCTGAGAGTATTCTAAGAAGACTCTGGCCAGTTAAGATCCTTAAGTTTAGAGACATCATAGAGGCAATACATATGTTTATTAGTTAGAAAGACACTCAAAAATGTGTTTCAAAAGAGAAGAATGAAGAAGATACCATTAGGTGCACATATGAGCTGAGTAACAGAAACCATGTAAAGAGCTGGGGTCAAGCAGCTATGAGGGGGTCTATAACTCCTTTTACTCTACATAATCAGTCCACCCACGAATGTGTGTAATATGCAAAATCAATCTTCATTTCTAATCTTATGTCCTTAGAACTCCTCAGTCTCTCATGGAATTATAATGAGGATGTTGGAAATGGGTTCTTGGCCCTAGTAATGAATGTTTCTCCTTTATTATTGGTGAGGAATTTCAATTATAATCAAGTAAATGAACTTACTTCGAGACAGATTCTCAAGGGCTTTCCCCAGCTTCTTGCTCTCTTGAAGGATGTGATTCAATTCATCAAAATCACGGCTTTCTGGTTTAGTCCTCCAGTTCCATTTAGGATGCTCTACTGACCTTGGCACTATGTTTAAAAAAAATGGTTATTTCATAAGCATACTACATAATGATACAAACTCACTATTCATCGTTATGTGAAGACTGCACCAAGATCAATGTACAGAATAAAATAAATGTTTATCTTCGAGATGGTTTTCTTGTGAGCAAACAGAGGGGAAGATGTAAATCTGGGTTTGAAGAAAATGTTTCAACTGAACAAGTAAACAGAAGTGTGGCAGCATTGATGGAAAATAGAAAAATTCAGGTATTGATTTAAAACTAATCATTTCTGTAACTTAGGGAGAAATATATAAGCTAAGTATATTTTATATTATGTTAGCAGCTTAAAAAGTAATTACTAACTTCATCAGTAACTAGTAAATATTTTAAAGACATTCTTGCCATGTTTTCTAAAAAACTACATAGAAGACTAAAATGCACGTATTTGCCTTCAGATCTCCCCAAACTCCCACTAAAATTATATTACAGTCAAGGGATTTTTTTTTTCCTCAAAGAATTGGTCAAACAAGAAAAGAAGACATTATTAGGCAAGAAATAGCAACATATTTTGGGATGAAGATGAAAAATGGATTGATAAGTGGTAACTGGCTTTAGCAAGATAGAGAAAACTGAAACCTAAGTCTCTCTGAAGAGAAAAATGCCAAGAGAGTCAACATTTCAGAACAGTTAACTATTTAAATATTAAAACAAAAATTCAAGAGAATGACGTCAAAGTAACAAATATATTAAGAACTTAATCGTTTTTCAGATTTAAAGGGTCTATTAAATGTCCAGTACAATTCAAGGCTTATTATCAAAAAATTTTACATAGTGGCAATAAAGAAAAGATTGTAAAAAGTTTTCAGGGATAAAAACAGCAAATCAAATTGATATCAGACTTCGCAGTAGCAACAGTTGGCCTTAACATTTCAACTGAAGATTATTTCTCATTTAGAATTTTATACCCAACAAAGGAAGCAATTAAGCTACTTAGAAGAACTCAAAAATGTATCTTGCAAAAGCACTCTTACAGAAAGCTCCTAGTGAAGATGCTCCACCAAAATGAGTAAGTAAATCTAATATGAAAAGACTTGGAATTCAAGAAATAGGTGGTATTCCATAAGAGAAAAAAAAACAATTCCCAGGATAACAGCGAAGGACAGTCTCATAAGACAGCTGAGAAAAAGCCTATAAACCAAGGAGTAAAGTGGAGCAAGAGGACAGAAGGCTACAGAAGACAGGGCTCTAAAATTTTTCAAATAAAATAAAGGATAAATATAACAGAAATTAAGATTACTTAATATTTTTTATCACATTGAGAAGGTTTAATTCTTTGGACGGGGTTTGGTGAAGCTTTAGCAATGGGTATATAGAAAACAGACAGAAAAGCAAGAAAATGATCAATTCTAGAAAAAAAATATTAGTTGTATACTGGCTCAACTGTGAAAGTATGTTAATATCGTCAAAACAATATCAATGTGGAATACATATTTAACCAAGATTTGAAATAACTGCATTCCTACACTGCCAGGATGACATGGGGATTCGAGTATGAAGCACAAAATATGAAAGAAGTGAATAGATGATGCCTCAAATTTAAAAAGTAAGAGAGCCTTATATTTTCAAGTGCATAGACTTAGGAACCAAAAAAAACATCTAAAAGAGTTGACAGTGCTTCCAGGAGAAGAGCAGAGTTGGGGGAAAAGAAGGACACTGCTATCCTATAGTACTACTTTACTTTTTTAACTATGTATATTATGTTTTTATAAAAATCAAGTACAATAAATTTTTAAAAAGTATTTGTACGCTAAGGATATAGGAAATAGTCTCAAACTATTGAAATAGAACATTCTGTCACTTATTTTTATTTCAGCATATTACAGGGGTGCAAATGTTTAGGTTACATATATTGCCTTTGACCCACCTGAGTCCATTCTGTCACTTTTTAAAAAAGTAATCTAGCAATATCTATTACAATGAAAAATGCACTGACCATGTGACCCAGAAATCTTATGTCTAGTAAGTCATCATAAAGAAATAAAATCACCTGCACTTGTGCATACATGTCCAAGGTTGTTTATTTTCACAGAAAATGCAAGACTTTGTTTATTTCAGCAAATAGTTTGTGGTGGCAAAACCCTGTACATAATCTAAATGTCCTTCAACAGGGGAATGGGTGAATAAATTATGGCATAGTCACACTGTGCTATAGTATACAATTATCAAAAGTCATAAGTTAAATATATTACCATGGGGATATTTCCACAATATATTTTATTTTATTTTTTCCTTTTTATTTCAGCATATTATGGGGGCACAAGTGTTTAGGTATATTGCCCTTGCCCCACCCAAGTCAGAGCTTCAAGCGTGTTCATCCCCCAGATGGTGCACATCGTACTCATTATGTAAGTATATACTCATCTCCTCCTCCTCCCTCCCATCTGCCCGACACCTGATGAATGTTATTGCTATATGTGCACTTAGGGGTTGATCAGTTAAAACCAATTTGATGGTGAGTACATGTGGTGCTATTTTTCCATTCTTGGGATATTTCACCTAGTGGAATAGGTTCCAGCTCTATCCAGGAAAATACAAGAGGTGCTAGATCACCATTGTTTTTTTGTGGCTGAATAGTACTCCATGGTATACATATACCACATTTTATTAATCCACTAGTGTATTGATGGACACTTGGGTTGTTTCCACAGCTTTGCAATTGTGAACTGTGCTGATATAAACAGTACAGTACAGATGTCTTTTTTTACAGGATGTGTTTGTTCTTTTGGGTAGATGCCCAGTAATGGGATTGCTGGATCAAATGGTAGATCTACTTGAATCTCTTTGAGGTATCTCCATAGTGCTTTTCAGAGAGGTTGTACTAGTTTGCAGTCCCGCCAGCTGCGTAGGAGTGTTCCTATCTCTCCACGTCCACGCCAGCATTTATTGTTTTGGAACTTTTTGATAAAGGCCATTCTCATTGGGATAAGTGATATCTCATTGTGGTTTTGATTTGCATTTCCCTGATAATTAGAGATGTTGAGCATTTTTTCATATGTTTGTTAGCCTTTAGTCTATCTTCTTTTGAAAAGTTTCTGTTCATGTCCTGTGCCCACTTTTTGAAAGGGTTGTTTGGTTTTTTCTTGCTGATTTTCCTGAGTTCTATATAGATTCTAGTTATTAGCCCTTTATCAGATGTGTAACATGCAAATATTTTCTCCCATTCTGTAGGTTGTCTGTTTGCTCTCATGATAGTTTCCTTGGCTGTGCAGAAGCTTTTTAACTTGATCAGGTCCCACTTATTTATTTTTGTTGTTGCTGTGATGGCCTTTGGGGTCTTCCTCATAAATTCGTTGCCTAGGCCAATGTCTATAAGAATTTTTTCAACATTTCCTTCTAGAATTCTTATAGTTTCACACTTTGGGTTTAAGTCTGTTATTGACCATGAGTTGATTTTGTGAGAGGTAAAAGGTGCGAATCCTCTTTCAGTCTTCCATATGTGGCTATCCAGTTTTCCCAGCACCATTTATTGAATAAGGACACATATATCTGACATAACTTATCATGGGAACCAAATCCAGAACAACCAAGGGGTAACTATGGTTTAATTAACTACACTGGGTACTTTCAAAAGCTATTTTTATAAATAATGGACAGAGATTTGTGAGGTCATCAGGCCAGGATACAGTCTTGGGATAAGAACATCTCTAAAGTTTTCTGAGAGTTTAAAAACCTTATGTAGGTCATACTACATCTTAAAAACTTAATGGTACAGTTTAAATACATTTTAAAAGAATACTCACAGGAAAAGTGGAAAACAGAAAAATAGCATCAACAACATAATATAACCCATAGGAGAAGGTGACAGAATCTGAGATTAGGAAGGGTCTTTGAGGTCACTGAGACAGAGCTCACTCCAGTGCAGAAAGCTACCCACAGCACCTTGCAGATGGTCATTCCTCATTCTTCCCTAATGAGGACACTCTCACAAAAAACCATATTGAGCAGGGCGAATTTTTTAATGACTTTTTATTGTATTAGTCAAATTCTGACTACTGTGACCTCCACTAATGATTTCTGTTTACGGGTTAAAAAATAAATTTACTGTTCTCTCTGCATGACTTTTGAGATGCTGTTTATCCATTTCTTTGCAACCGAAATAATTTGACTTATGTAGATTTTTCAACTGTTTTGTAAAATTTAACAAATGCTAATGTTCTCATCTGAAAGTTCCCCCAAAGTACTCTACTTTCATTTTAAGTATGCCAGGAAATATCCCCCATTCTCTAGTTATGATATGCCAAAAACTGACTATAGTGAGATCATTACGTCATGTCTCCTGCCTTCTGTATTTCCGTATCATGATTTTTAAGGCACTGTTCTGCCATATTCATTCTTTTGTTTTTAGGTAATTTGTACTTTCTATCCATATGCACTGTCCTTTCTTTATTTTTCTCTAAAATTATAGTGGTGGTCTATAAATATCCAGCCATTTCTCTTTGTATATTCTGTGCTAAATGTAACATTTTTAAAAACCTGAAAAATACTCTCTGAAATGCAAAAGCATAAATAAAACCACTAAGAGTTGGTTTCAGTTTTTGGTTTTAACCTAGGCCAACATATTTGTCCCAATTTTCTCATCAAGATTATAAATTTGAAATGGCTATAAAGGATCAGTATACACCATTATGCACAGGATAGTGATGGGCAATAGATAACCAGACAAAATACTTAATACCATATGACAAAACCTTCATCAAACCTACCTGTGTTATCTATGTCAAATAACTATTGAAAATTGGTAGTATAATATGACCTTGCAGATCATTGTCCCTATACCAACTTGCACTGTGTAAGTGCTATCTTTTGGTTATCTGAAAATGCACAATTTCTAAACTGACAACCCATATAAAATAGGATATATATTTTTTAATATTAACACATCCTTAAGTTATCTTCATTTATTCATTCACTCATTTATTCACTCATTCGTATAGCACAAACTATGTATCAGGCACTGTTCTAGAT